AAATTCTCTTGGCTGGAAGTAGGGACATACCATTTAATTATTCACCTACAGTGAACAAGCTCTGGAAGTAAGAATTACCTCCAGCTTTCTCCAAAATTAAAGGAGAAATTAATTTTGCTTATGTTCATCTCTCTCCTTCAAGGTGATGAGTACTCCTGAGAGATCAGCAGCAATGACCAAGACTATAGTTGATTCATTCGTAGTAATGTGGGAACTGCATGTAGTAGCTATGGGTTGCTCTAAAACTTGGGATTGACTGTCTTAATTTGCAACTGCTGCTTCAAAAGCCCCAACTGAGTGATTGAACTAATGCAATAATTCACGTTCTCACCTTGTAATGACTTCTTTTTGTGTTTCCTAAAACTTTTCTAACTGCATCTTTACCAGCCATCATTCTCATCTCTACTTCTGACCCTGGTATACACACAGAATAAGCAACGGCATCTGTTTGGGCAGAGGGCTGTATTTCATTCCATCCCTTCATCAGCAGTCTTACTATTTCAGTGCCCTTAGCAGTACTCAATTGGACTTTCTATGCAGGTTTCAAGGTTGCCTGCTGGTGACATGAGCTATGGCTTAAGGTGTTTTCAAAGATCTGAGGTTAAAGGGTTGTTTACAATATTTGACTAGATTACATTATAGGAGTAAAATTTATCCCCTTTATCATCAACCGTAGTATGTTCTGGCAAGTAGCCAGGCCCCAATTAAAAGTGTGCATAAGTATACTTATAAATACGTATATCAGAACGCTAAGCAACTGAGAATCAATAGCCACCCTCACAGTAACAGTAGAAAACTATTCCTTAAGTACATCATATAAAATTACAATGGGATCATATTCCAATTGTTTTAATAAAATGACTACAATATGAGGCATTGTTTAGTCAGGGGAGGCCATAAAATTCTGAAATTAAGCCCTAACCTGTATGTAGCAGAAGGTTTCATATAAATAATGCCAGCAAGACAAATGGAGATTTTTATATATTGCAACCATAAAAAAGCTTATGGAGTGTTGCTTTGCTTATTATGGATTTTATCAGGGTTTCGTTGAGTGAAGCAGCAATTAAACTAAATATGCTGTCCCAGAAACCATTTATGACTGTTCTGTCTACACAGAGCAGACTATACTGAAAGAGACCATGACTTGCATTTCAAAACATGTTTAGACTTTCTTTTCAATAGTTGTAAAGAACCTAGAATGAGTCTCCTCACAAGGGATCAGATGAAGCCAAAAATCTATAAATATTTTTATTTTTCATTCCTATCGCACTTGCCTTACCTAGTAGACACCTTTTCCAAACAATTCTTTGGTTATTTATAATGAGCTAAGGAATTAGGTGATTTATGAATTCAATAATACAATATAGTGTTCTTATAGTCAAAGGATATTTCTGCGTTTGATGAGCTTTGGGACAAGCCTCGTAGCCCACAGGTATTTTTTATTCTGTAAGTTTATCCAAAGTAGTTTAGATTCAAGAAAACTTGCAAAGAATTCCAGTGAAATTTTTATTTTCCTGAGAAAGAATTAACAAATCAGGATCTTTTGAAAGAAAAATGCACAGAACCACTTTTATACTGAGACCTATCCAGTCCTATGGACAGTGCTGAGGCTGCACTAACACAGAGTCCCTAAAAATGCTGCAAAACTTTTGCTTATACTCTGCCCCCAAAAGAGGGGTGTACGCAAGGAGGGATCAGTATAGGGAAATCAGTAATTAGAATCTATAAATAATTAGGTTTAGAGGGAGGTTGGATAAAGATAGTATCTTTCAAAGGAAAATACATTTTTTCCAGTCTGGAAAGACATAGATGCTGCCACAGAATAATTTTGACACTTCATTAACTTTATCTGCTAGCACTGCCCATAGAAACAGAGATTTTTGGCAGAGCTCTGCTTCACTGTTTATCTGTTTTTTTTTGCAAGGCAGACAAACCTGCTTTCATTTCCGTTTGTCCGTTTGTTTTTTATGAAAATAGATTTTAATAGTTCAGCTAGGAATTTTAATATATGAAACTCAACCTGCCTGCAACATTTGTTGTCCATGTTCAAATGTGAACCAACCTAGTTAGCAGCAGCGTTGTTTTACTCTGTGATAATCCAGTCTCATCCTGCCTTAGACATAGACTCACAGACAAAGACAGGAGTGGATAGAGACAAATTGTGTGTGTGGGGGGGGGGGGGGGGGGGGGAAGTAAATATGTATTTAACTGAACTCTTCAGTGAAACTAAAATAAAAATATTTCTATTACACTATAAAATAACAAAGTGAATTGTCACAAAAGTGGCAAGGAAAAGTGCTCTTGTAGCTGAAGTATACCCTTCAATCTTGGAATTTATATTCAGCTCTTCTCTCATAAACACTTTGTTTTACCAGGGACAAATCACTCTCTCTATGCTATATTTATCCATGTGTAAAACTCACTCTATTTCATTAAGACATCAAGATATTTGGGACAGAAGTACTTGTGCTTTTTGTACAACCTTGTAGCAGTATTGGTTGATCTTAGCTGGGGCTGCAAAGTGCTGCTTCTAGAACAAACATTCTTAGATTTAGCTTTATTTCACTGCCAACACTTTAGGTCAGCCCCTAAGCTGCTTTAATATTTAATTAAAATTTATCAATATTAAGCTTTGAATGCCAGTATCTCTCTTGTTTCCAAGTACACACTAATTATGTTGTCCTCATTTACAGACCATTTAATTATCTGGTTGTTATCTGGAGAAATTCCACAGTATTTTCCAGAGCTGTGGGTATACTGGCTTTTTCCAAAAGATATCTGCCCTGCATGTCTTTATGAAGGAAAATCTGACTCTGTCATCTTCCTCATTCCCCCCAGTGATTTCTACATGGTAAGAGAGTCTGTCATAGGCCTGTCATTGTCTTTAAGTCACTGGTACCTGAAGAGGACCAGCTATGTGAGGGACCAAAACTAATGCAATGAGAAGACTGAAGCAGATACATAGATCAGTTACCAGAAGAGTGAAGGTATACACACACATAAGTGCTTGTGCATCACCTAGACACAGTGCAATTATAATTCTTACCTCAAAGAAGATATGATCCAAGGCCCTGATTCTGTAAGCCTTAAGCAAGTGCTTCAGTGACTCAGTGCTGTTTTGACTATGCAGCTGATTCTCTCAGTTCCTACCAAGAATCTTACAATGTATGACATCTGCCTAAAATCCCATTTCTGAAAGTCATAAATCTGCAGAACCTCCAAATTCATTTGGGGAAAAAAATGTTCCTAGTGCTGTCATTGCACAGAAAAAGACTGGAAAACATGACACAGATGTTTCCTTAAGGCTCAGTAAACAGAAAGCAAATTAAAAAATACCTTTTCTTAAAAAAAATAGTTCTTTGGTTTAAAGACCACATCTTTTAAATCTTACAGGCCAGCCTGATGATTTTTTAATACTTCAGGTTGACAGAACGATCACTGGGACTATTCACAGAGGATAAAGATAAAAATGTGCAAAAGATCTTTGTCAGATCTGGGCCTACAGCCAGCCTCTCACTCCCCAAGAGCATGTCATATGGCACTACTAAATTTGGCTCAAACTTGTTTTGGTGAGTGCAAAATTTGCCTGGATCCAAAGCTGGTTCTGCTTCTCCCACTTGAAGCTTTTTCATCACATGTTGAAATCTCTAAATAAACTAATACTACAAAGAAGCTTTTATCTGGATGGAGGTGTGTTTAAAAGAAAGTAATAGGGGTGAAAGCAAAACAACATTGGGGAATTAATCAGAGGTTGATTTCTGAGCTATAAATTACCATTGATTACAGTATTTACTAAATTCACTAAAAATCTCTTCCTTGGTTTCTTTGCTTGTAGACAGATATCCACTTGCCTCTTCTTGTTTGGACTAGAATCTGTCCCTGTAAAGCCCCAGGGAATTAACTTACAAGCAATGGCAGAAAAAGCTGAACACAATGATTTCCTTCCTCCCAACATTGTTCCATGCAATGTTGGCAACCAGATCTGTGAAACAACAGTTTAGCAAAGGAAATCTTTGGCAATGACTGCATGTCTGACACCACAGCCCCTTCTTCCCCCTTTTTAGCTGCATATGCTAAATCACTTTAATTTGTGAAGAAAACCTATGTGTTAGATGGGAATACACTGTTCATGCAGCTTTTGGTTAGTCCCATGCAAACTACAGAAAAGCCAGAAAAAAGGGTAGAGTGCTTTTCTCCAGTAAAAGCACAAAATGTAAAAATCTAAAAATAATACAAGTGAAAGCATCTGAGAGACCCCACTCTTAATCTGTTAGTACGTGTACAATATGACATGACTAACGCCAGTCCTCTGGGCCATCCCAATTTATTCTTCCCCCCGGGAGCATCAGTTTTGATGATTGTGAACTTGGCAGGGATAAAATTTTCAGGAAAATCTATAGCATCAAGACAGAAGAATTCTCTAAGTAAACCCCACAAGGTTGGTAAGATGGCGGGCATAATAGCACTGCTATTGAGCATGAAGGCTACTGCAAACAAAGTCTGAGTCAGACAGGCTGTTTTGAGTATACCTGCCTGAGTTGTCATGAAAAGTGGAAGAAGCAGAGTTTATAAACAAACTTTCCTGCATAGAGAGCAAATTCTTTTCTCCCAGCTTGTCCTCAGCACAATGCTGAGGTGCTGTCTGGCCCAAAGTGCTCAGCGTTTTCCCTCAGGGAAGGCTCCTCTTCTCTCACCTCAGGGAGGGCTCCTGTCCTGCCAGCTGAGGGAAGGATCCTCTCCTCTTACCTGAGGGAAAGTTTCTCTTCTCTAGCCTGAGAGAAAGCTTCTGTCCTGTCAGCTGAGGGAAAGTTTCTCTTCTGCCAGCTGAGGGAAAGATCTCCTTTCACCTGAGGGAAAGCTTCTCTTCTCTCACCTCAGGGAAGGCTTCTGTCCTCTCACCTGAGGTAAGGAAGTCTCCTCTCTTCTCACCTGAGGGAGGACTTCTGTTGTCACCTGAGGGAAAGCTTCTCTCCTGCCAGCTAAGGGAAAGATCCTCTCCTTTCACCTGAGGGAAAGTTTCTGTCCTGTCAGCTGAGGGAAAGCTTCTGTTCTAACAGCTAAGGGAGGGCTTCTCTTCACTCATCTGAGGGAAAGCTTCTCTCCCGTCACCTGAGGGAAGGATCCTCTCCTCTCACCTGAGAGGAAGCTTCTGTCCTGTCAGCTCAGGGCTTCTGTCCTGTCAGCTGAGAGAAAGCTTCTGTCCTGTCACATGAGGGCGGGCTTCTCTCCAATCACCTGAGGGAAAGCTTCTCTCACCTCAGGGAAGGCTCCTGTCCTGTCACCTGAGGTAAGGAAGGCTCCTCTCCTCTCCTCTCCTCTCCTCTCATGTGAGGGAAAGTTTCTCTCCTGCTAGCTGAGGGAAGACTCCTGTCCTGTCCAGAACTATATTCACCCCAAGGTGCTTTTGTAACCTTCTCTTTCTGCTTTTAACGAGGTAGTTAATTTGCTGAACAAGGAAGCCTGGTAGTTGATTTATAAATTGCGCCAGAAGTTTCTTCTCTACTCAGACATAACTATAACAATTTGGATTTTATGCTGAATGTTGGAATCTGAACAAACTCTTTGCAGTTTCATATACGTCCTTTATATAAGAAATGTTCCCTTTGCTCTTTTGTTTTATATGCTACTAATAAAATCTTTTTGTTAGAGCAGATTTTCCAGTATATTAAAGTCATGAGTAGTTGATGGAAATATATATATATGTATTTAGAACTGCAACTAAATACTTGGTTAATGTAAATGTACCTGTCTGTAAATCACTACTTCCATGGTCACTGTGGATGAGCAGGGCCCTCAGTAGGAGATCTGAGTATGGAAGCAACTTGCAGTTCTTCGTGCTATCTTGAAAAAGGAACTGCTATAGTGTGTCAGCGCTGTGGTTTGTCTACTCCAATATTCCTCCTCTTTTAAGAAAAGACTAGTAGCAAATATCCTGGGGGAAGGAGTAACATTTCCACCATGGACTATTAGGAAAGGTTATCTTTTTCTTTATCCATAGGTAATTGCCTTTATACTCTGATGCACAAGGATGGCTTTACTTAACTATTTTTTTTAGTCTAGTTTAGATACCCCAAAAATGGCTTATTGCATTCTCTATTTTTATTTAATTCTTTTTCCCCAAATACCTGGTATGAAATACTCCTTATACTTCCCATCACAAAAAATGTTTCTTGTGAACATGATTTTGCGTCATTTATTTGGCTTAGACAGAGCCAAATTTAGATTTTAAGATGCAGTTTTGAACTTCCACCACTTGATGGCCACATTTAAAAATTTTGTTTCAAATAATGCCAGTGCTGTATTTGGCGAGGTAATGAGCCTAAAAAGTACATGGTCAGAAAACCATCCAGACAGTTTCCCATACCAAGATTATATTTATGCATACGTCTGTGTTGTTTGTGCAAATATTTATGTCAATAGCTCTCTGAAACAGCTGTATAATATAATGTGGAACAGTGGCAAATACTAGAAGTGGCAATTCAAATGTAACTCTCCAGTCCTGTGACCTTGCATATGGTGGCTTTGGCATCCAAGGCCTCAGGTCCCAAGTCCTCCTCTCATTGCAGCAAGGATGTAATCGTTCCGAAACTGGTATTTCATACCAGTTTGTGAAAGAGTTACCTGTGACATGAGAGTGGCTAGCTAATCCATCTCCAAATTTCAATATTGAAAAAAACATAGTAGAATACGTTTTGAGATTTAAGTTTTTTGTTTATAAAGGAATGTGGAAATCCAATAGTAATTTCAGTCAGAAAAAGGCAAGACACTTCATGTGGAAAGTACGTACAAAATGGACATTCTGAATTTTTTCAGATTTTATTTTTTCCTAAGTAAAACATTATGTAAGTCAAAAGAATTTTTTGGCTTTTGCAAGTTTGTATTCTGAACCTTTGATTGAACCTTAAGCCATTCTTGCTGAAATCATGATCTAAGTTTTTTACCTAAGAAATGCAAACCTACAGAGTTTTTGATTTTATTTACTTTGAAAGTATTGACCTTAACATGACTCAAAAATATCATCCTACTGGATGTGATTTCCTCTTGGAGTTTTATTCTGACCTGGCCTATTCAAAAGTTGTGGGATTCTGTCATTGCTTGTACTATTTTATTTTATTTTTTCTTCTACCACAACCTCTAGGTTTCAGGGGCTTACTGGCAGGATAATGACAGTGTTACTTCAGTCAGCATGGTTCTTTTTAATTTGTCTTGAGAGTGCTTCTGCCAATTTTGTTAAAGGAAACCAAATAAATTTATTGTTGCCAAAAAAATATCTTGGGAAATACATGGAGAAGAGGCTGAAATATTACTGAAAAATAATTTAAAAATCTATATGTTTGTAGTGGAATTTGATAAGATCTGGACGATTTAAAAAGCATGCTCCTTTGGGTCACTTCAATAATCCCTTGTGATATTTTTAGACATTAGAATGTATGTTTTCTCCTTAATGGAAAACAAAACAAAAGCCTTGTGGATATTTTTTCCAGAATGAAGTGTTTTATCAATCAAACTATTTTGGACTGGGTCTGGCTTCAAGATGCAAAATGTCCAGTGTAAGAAGTGAGTTTCTAAGCTTGCAACATAAATTGCTTTCTCTATATTCAGGCCATTAAACAATGAAATGACATTTATATCTAATCTCCATCTCATGAATTTGTCTTTACAACATCCTAGGAAAACATAAAAACAGCATCCTGTTTATGATAATTAAAACAGTTGGTGGTAATGAATGCAGATATCAAAGTTTTAGTGTAATTGAGGTGATGGTACATTTAAAGCAAGCTAGCAGGTGTTAGATCTGAAGCTATGACTTATGGAGCAATATTGTACTGCACAGTTGAAGCTGAAGAAACCCTCAGTGCAACAGCAGTCTCACAAAAATACACGAGGATCTACAAAATGAAAGATCCAAAGGGAAACTAAAAGACAATTTGGGCCATTCCAGAAGCTACTTTTTGGAACTCCGTACGATACAAAGCTAATTCCTTTACCCGACTCTTTTTCTGTTTAGCTCTATGTGTGTATGAAATGCTGAACTGTTTATTGTTCATTCCTAATTTTTAGTCTGTTTGAAACTGATGAAAGCTAAAGTGACCTAGTTGCACTTTGGCTACCAGGAGTTTCATATGGTTCTTGTTGTAGCTCATACCTAAAAATGAAGGAAAAGAAGTCATAATGCAATTATTACTAATCTTTGCTTTCTTCTTTCACTCTTTTTCTCTCTTTCCTCATCCTCTAGTGTGACTGTGGTATAGAATACAGCTGAGACAGAGCTGGTTCCAACCTTTGGTACTTATTTTTGGCTCATTAATTTTTTTGGCAAAGAAGAGACACTTAAAAGTCTGATGTTCAAAGGCTACGTGGTGATTGATCAGAAGTCAGCACAGTCAGTTTTGTTATTTTTTCCACTCATAGTAATGCTATTGCCTAAGAGCCCACAAAAACAAAGCAATTAGGTTTGCTTGATAGGAGGAATGATGGCGGCAGAACTATCATCAGCATTGAAACTAGCATGTTTCCATGAGATTAACTTTCCTCCACTTATTTAAGTGCCAAAGTCTAGTTTATAAAATGACGAGGTAATGCAAGTTGCGTTTAAAGTGCATTATCTGAATTATGCCAACTGTGCTCTTCAGGAATGTGACGTTGTGAAATGAGATTTCCACACACCCACAGGAATGAGCAGACACTATATATTAGCCTAGTAAAAATACAATCTTATATCAATAACACCCAGGCTCTCTCTCCCTTTCTTCCTGTTTGTGTTGTGTGTCTGAGTTAGTGTTGTTCTGAGCCAGTGTTGCCAGGTGTACTCGCCAGAGCCTACTCAACTGGAGCTGTGAATACCAGCCAAAAATAGCTAGCCCTGACCAGATGCTCCAGCAGAGTTAATAATTGAGAGCCAGTGAGGACGTATGCAGAAGACACACACAGCTATTCACTGCTAGAGCTTTGAACTTGTCCATTGAAGATGAAATTTTAACTTACATCAGGATGTGGAGCAGTGTTAGCTGCCTGGATAGGATGGGTAGTAAGACACTGAGTGGTGATCTCAGGTTTATCTCAGTTCTCAGTTTTTATTTAGGTTCAGTTCCTGCCTCAAGCGATAGAGCTACTGGGTACTTGTGCTTAGCCAGTACCTTTCTTGTGACTTGATTTCCCCATCTTTGGAACAGAATGATGTTCATGAAACTGATCAGAAATTTTGAATTCTAAGCAAAAGCCAGTGTTGCTATTTTTGACAGGGAAAATATTCCAGATGGACTGATTTAGGATTTCGTAATGTTGGCAACAATGTCCTGAATAAGGTGGTGCTGCTGGTATTCAGCGGATTATATTTACCTCTGCAAAAAATACTGAGTTTATGGGGGACTGTTGGGACTGGTGATATAAATGAGCTATATATACCGATACATTTCACTAATTCCCCTTTTAATCTGTGAAAAACCTCTGGGGCTGTTGATGAGGTCCAGAGTATGTGAGACCTAACAAACTCTGGCAGAACTTCCTGTCTTCATTTGGAAACAAATTAAATGCATAACTCAGAAAATGGAGAATACCTAATTTGGTTTTATCTCAGTACGTTTGAGTGTCTCACTAATTCTGATACCCAATTTGCTAATATTTGAGAAAATTAAGGTTATGGGTGAGCCCTGAAAAAAAAAAAAAAAAAAAGTTTTCAGGGTTAATTAAAGAAGTACATGAGTCTGGTTTGGAACCCATTTAGGCAGTTCTGGAGTGCTTGCTGCAGCTGGTGGGCTTCCAGGAGGTGTCTGGAAAGGGAAAGATTAGTTCTGGTTAGTAATACTGTTGGATGGCAAAGGCACAGGAGCCAGAAATTAAGAATTTCTGTCAGACTCTTCCTAGATAATGACAGACCCAGCAGGAGACGATTGCTTTCTTTGGATGCCAATGTCTGACTCATTGTTTTCTGAACCCTAGTAAAGCTGAATTGTTGGTACTTCAAGAGAGCCAGATTGCTGCAAAGAGTCTGAAGCTTGAGCACGAAAGAATTGAAAGACTGTCTGTGAGTTATTTGAACTTTAGGAAGGAATGAAAAAAATGTTATCTAGCTACAATGCTGAGTCGTTTTAGCCTTAGGAGCTGCTTAGGTCAGCTGAAAGATTGGGAAGGAAAACACTGACTCAAGTATTTTATTGTGTCAGCAGAGGGTCCCTGCCGCAGTATGGGCTGAAACATGAAAGTAGGGATCCAAAGGGAATTGCTATCAACAGTAGCTGCTTTAAAAATAGTGTAATTCCTTTGTTTCTGAGGATTGTCTAAAGTCATAGGAAATCCTGCCAGGAACCTACAAGCCCATAGCATTAGTAGATCTTTCACTGAGGAGTTGAATACAATGAGATTTCCACCAGATTCCTTTTTCTTCACTTTTCTTCTGACTTACCATCTAGCCAGGTGGGTGAGAATACCTCACAGGTAGGCTTTTCCACGGAAGGTAAAGCTTAAAACCTTGTAACCACAATTACTTTATCTCCTTACTCTCCAACACAGCCATGTGATCAGTCATGGTAATAAGTAGTTCTACTCTGGCTCCATAATACCTTTGCTTGTGTCCTTAAAGATTTCGGGAATCTGAGCACTATCTTTGTGGAGGACTGTGTTGGAATTTTTTCTTAAAAAATCTAATAATATTATTGGATTAACATTGTTATGTGCTTTCTGTCTTTAAATGATTATTTTATCCTTATAATAATGCTTCAAATATCAAGATTCTCATACTGTGCATTCTGCAAAGGAGGTGGGGGGCAGAAATCCCAGTTCGCTGATTGTAATTCAAAACAGTAATGACCTCTTATTCAAATGGTGTTATCTCAAGCATTGCAATCAAATTCCAATTTGGAAAAAAGAATCGATGCACTTAAACTTTTCTTCTACCACAGTTTGACATTTCTTTCTTTTTTTCACTTACAGTGTCAGGAAGTGGAGCTGAGTTGGCAGTATACGGCAGCAGTATATGCCATCCCAGAGGAGGCTGTAAGTAAGTGTTAAAAATGTTTAGTTTTGTCTATTAAAAAGACTTTTACTGAACTCTAAAAAGTAGTAACAGAACTACCACTTCCAGCAGTTTAGTGGTTGTTAATAGATGTTGGTATATTGATTATTTTCTAATGGGGATTTAAATTCCTATCAGCACTCTCCACCGTAATGGAAATACTTTCTCAAACTCAGCCATCTGATAAATTTTCTGTGAACTCCTTTACATAGGTTGAAATTTGCCACTGTACAAGTTAGTAAGCTTGTGGGATCTGTCATTGATTCATATAGCTAAATCTTGTGGATACTGCTTGCTTTGGAGAGCTTGTCTTGCAGCTTCATGTTACGTTTCATCTGTTCACCTGTTTCACTATTTCTCCACAGAAGTTGTAATTGTGTTCTTGTACACTAGAATAAATTTAAGAAGCTGTGTAAGGTGGCCTTTCATTGGCACACAATAATTGTTTCCTGTTATTTCTTCTAAAAAGAAGATTTACACAAATAGTTGCACTGCTTGTGATTGTCACACAATGCTATTGTTTGCGATATGGTGTTAACATCAGTAATATAATATAACTTACTGAAGCGAGACATAGTATCTGTCAGGATTATTTCATCCTTTGCTGTTCTTATAATGTGATATTGAGATTTCTTTCATTTATTAAAATGCAATATCATTTTAAAGTAACATACAGATTTTGAATGCCATTATATTCATGTTACCAATTGTTTAAAAATCCTTTTTCAGTGTTGGTCCACCCTTAGCTTATTAACAATATTTGCTGTTTTTTTTTTTTTTTTTTTTTTTTTTTTTTTTTTTTTTTTCTGGGGGTTCAAAATGCTACTGCAGGACAGATGACATGCTATGGTATATCATTACAGTCTAATGTGTTACTTCGTGGTCTCAGGTTGCTTTTCTTTGAGTAGTTGGATACTATCAGCTGTCTGTTTCTCATCTATTGTTTCTTTCCCTCAGAAGCTCCGTAAGTGGGAGATGACAGAGCCAACGCACTGCCTGTGTTAGGGGAGCAACAGAACTCCGATAGTGATGTAAATTATTGGAGCAGTGTTCATCTAGGGAATTGCAGACAGACAAAGCAGCTCTGAGGAATTGCATCCCTGTCAAAGAAACTTTGTTTCAGCTGAGGCTTGAATAACAGCAGAAATGAAAAGCAGAGTAATCTGGTGAGGGGGAAAATGAACTGCAGAAACTGTAAGTATTTTTGAACGATTTCGTACATAGCTCACTTATCTGATGAGCAGATTCCTATATGCATTTCTGGACACATTTTTTTTGTCTTTGAAGAATGAAAAGTGCATTTCCTTTAATATGATGTGTAGGCAGATTATTTCTTTCCCATTCTCTAAATATGTGGATAGAATATTTTATATGAAGAATGGAATCTCAAATATTTATAGGGGAGAAAACTCTTTTATTTTGCCTTCCAAGTATACACAAACATTTTGATCTAAATATACACTGATACTTTGGTTGTGTGGTCAATATCTTTTAATGGGACATACTTATAAGCAACTAATCATAATATTTAAGACCAGCTTTTTCATTTCAGTTTATGGAGTTAGTTACATTTCTATTGTTTTCTTCAAGAGTCAACTTACAGGACTATAATATCAATTACTTACCTGCATTCACACAAGAGCAAACTCAGTGCTAAAACTGTCATCCTGAAATAAGTTTGCATGGAGTTTTATGACAGTCTGAAACAAATTTTTTTTATGAACAGTTTTTGTTTATTGTGGTTCTCAGCAAACAGGTGTGTGTGTGTTTGTTTCATGGGACCAGTTTTGAACAGGACAAATCAGCTCTAGCCAATAAGAGACTAAGGAACTCTGTATTCTGCTACCACACTCAGACCACCAGGAAAAATAAATTAAGAAAGGGTCATCTGGATTTTCTGAAATTAACCTGCAATGATTTCTCATTATGTTTTCTAAGCAATATATTTAGCAATTAATTCAAAGTTAACAGTCTGCTATAGCAACATTTCTTAGAATTGATGTTTTTAGAATGTTTATTGGGAAGTGTGGCACTGCACCACTCTATATTTTTTGTATGTATTATCATGAACTGATTAAGACGCCTTTTTGAAGTGAAAAACAGTGATATAACTTAGCATGAGTCTATCTCCTTTGGGAGAATTTGATTTGACTCTATCTTTTCAGAGGCTCTAGATAAATTGTGATTCAGGTAACTAAATAGTCTCGTGGAGACTGCTGTTTCTAATGGAAAAAACTTACTATGCATATACATGTTACGATTTGATTGACTGACTGTTTTGGAAGTAGCATGACATCCTTGTCTATACTCTTTCAACATACTCAATAGTGTGATACTAGTTTCTTATATTTGAGGTTGCTTAACAGTTCTAAGCACACAGTAAAGAAAGTCTCCAAAGAATTTACCTAAAACTTTGTACTGAGTTTGATACAATCTATGGCAGAAGAGCAGCTAGCAAATCACTTGAGAAATAATACCTGTTTCCTTTGTTTTCAATGTGATGGCATATCCAATTACACTCCATCTTCACTGAAATGTTTCTGATGTGGGTTAAAACTTTATTGTTAATCTCCACAGGATCTGTCTTGGATCTCTTGCCTTTATTGTTCATAGAACATCCCTAGTTAGTTCCTCATTATTTTAGACTTTATTCTTTTGTTTGTTTGTTTGTTTAAGGTTGACACTAATCTGAAGCAACCATATGATTCAGTGAAAAATTCAGATCTTCCAAGAGAACAAAGAAAATATCAGATTAGATGGTTGCACCAAAAATATTTTGTGGAATATTTTTAAAGGAAGACCAGCTAGTTTGAAATTACATAGCTAATTAATTTCTCAATTTTAATATTAAAAACTATGCATCTGGAATATGGTGGCTCACTCTAAGAAACAGAGATCTAGGTTTCAGTATCTTTGAAAAAATTCTAATCTCATCACTTTTCAATAAAAATATGAATGCCATTATTATATGAAGTATTAAATTTCCCAAGCACTATTTTTTAAATGAGGATTAAGATTCAATGAGGTACAATGAGGTCATTTCAATTCCCAGGATAACCATATTTCTAAATGTGTTTGTGTATGTTTCTGGCACAAATGACTACACTTTCACTAGATCTGTTGGAACATGCTTATGCTCCTGACTCTTTTAGCAGCCAGGACTGATGCCTGGCCAATCAAGGATGAGAAAAGGTAAAGAACAACATTTATTTCTTTTGAAATAGGTAGAGCTATTTATTTATTTATTTGTTTGGGGAGGGGGGAGGGGGGGGAGAGAGGGGTAAATAACCTTTTAGTGATTGGAAACCATTTGTGAATCAGTGTTGAGCCGTTGTATAATTTATTCAAAAAAGTTTAGCAGCAATACTTGGCTTCTGTTTAAAAATAGTATTTTGAGGTTAAATTTAGCTCTGTTTAAAAGACAATTTAGATACTACATCCTCTAAGTGGAATATTAGATTTGACCTCTGATTCTGAGTTAAATGTTAGCCATTGAATAAAATATAAATATCTGCTATTAATGCAGTGCTAAATCCATGAAATTCACTTCCAGGTAAAGACTATCTTTTCAATAAGAGTCAGTACTCCTGTTAGTTTAATTCTTCTGAATTGCATAGAAGAATGAATAGGGTAGAATATTCTGAAACTTGGATATATTCTGGTCAGGAAAATACAACTAACAAGTCTTAGTCCTAGTCACAGAATTTACATTCCCAAGTGAATGGAGGCCAAAAGAATTTACTGGCTGAGATGGAATTGGTCCTCTCAGTAACTCATGAATGCAGTTCTCAAAGGAAGATAGGAGTCTTTATTGTCAAATTTGGCAGTTCAGAGTTTAAGGCCTGTTATAAAGTGAAGTCACGTTGAAAGTATACAGTATTTGTTTCCATGTTTCACCTGCAAGTGAACTAGTTTTAGAATGGTACAAAGAAAAGTGTTGCTCCAAGGGCTTTGTCTTAACGATCTTTAGGAATCAAGGGAAACTTGTCTGCTAGGGGTTAACACCGAAGAATAGCCTTCATCCTTCTTTGAAGTGATGCATTCCCTAAGCATGTAGAGAAACTTGATGTTTATCAGACAAGTTGCCACATATTTGGCCTAGTATTCAGTTAGCATTTGCTAGTGTACATTATTTTAGTGCACTTTGTATTCCATCAAAATGCTTAGAACTGACATTTCACTTCAGAGTACCTCATAATAATGATGCAGATATCTTTCTATTATTTTTCTCTCCCACTTATACAGAATTTCTGCTTTGTAACCCAATAGAAATTACCTAGCTGATTAAAAGACTTGCTACAAACAATGTTAGACCCCTTTTAAGTGCTGGTAGAAAAAATGTAGGGGATTGTAGATACAGGAAAGATAGCTGAGTTAGTGTTTTAGAGATACAAGAAAGCTTTGTGTCGATAACATTGTTTTCAAAATTTTTAGTATATCTCTTACAGCTGGTCTGCAGCATTTGTGGCCCCAGTAGTGTTCCTTCTGTCTGCAACTAGATAAAGCACGGTGGAACCTCACCAGTAAGTCAGATGAAAACACTCTCCTGTCTTCAGCTGTTTCTGTGCTACACAGTCTTTTAGTTGCCTGAAGAACAATCAGAGTGTGGGAATTGTATTGAGAAATCATAAATTGCTTTGGGATTTACTCAACAGACTCTAATTTTGTATGAAATATGTGATTACGGAAGCACATAATAAGCATTCTCTTCTATGCTTACAAAGAGTCTTTTCAAATATTTTCAGATAATTTTCTGTTAGGAATTCTTAGATTCTGTTGCGTTATATCAGGCCTGGCATGTATTTCAGTCAGGTTTCATAGCAGATTTGCTTATCATGGAAAGTTTTTTCCTTTTAAACAAATAAGCAAACAAAAATTCCTAACTGTCTTACAAGTAACACTCTTCCCTTTGTGATAACTGCTGTGCAGGAACATTGTTTATTTTAAGCATGATACCTTCCACAATTCCTTAGAACACAGAAACAGAATGAAGAGCATAAGTAGTACATAACTACAAACAGGTAGGATCCTACTAATGTATGTACTATTGAAGAATTAACAGAGGAGGCCTAATGGTAGCAGCAGGTGGGTACTTCTGACCAACCTCCCACTCCAGCTCCCAGTATACTGAGTTAAGATTGCCTGTGTTAAGGCCAAAGCCATAATGACAACTTGGTGACAAAATGGGAAGGATCTATATTAAAACACTGCAAAGTTGAGAACGTATTCTAACAATTTAACAGTTTAGCAAGGCCAATTTAGCAATATAACAGTTTAGCAAGGCCATTGATGTGAAGGATGACCTAAAATGAATTAGACTATTTCTGAGGCGTATTGTAGTATATTTATACAACACTGCACTGCAGTGGAATAGACATGTAAACTTACCTAGACACTCAAAATATGCAGTCAATGACACTCAGAACATGAACTGCACAAAGTAGATGTGGCTTATGACTCCTGTACTTGACTGTGTGTCAGAGGAGCATTGCACATTAATTTCTTAGGCATTTTTGAAAATCTCACATTATTTCAAACATTGTAAACTTCTGATCAGCCTGAAAGGAATGACTTACACACATTGACTAGCTAATGTTATTTTAATTGCAGTAGAACCGAGAATCCTTAGCCAGGATCATGACCCATGTGCCAGGCACTACTTACTCAATTAACTTCTGCCAGAGAAAATTTGTTATGCTGAAATTTATCAGCATTAGTAACTAGAGCTGTGTAGACCACAGTGCAGACTGATTGATTCTTCTGCTCAATATTGCGTTGTAGACTTTAGCTGTAGGAAAACATACTCTTCTGGGTTCAGATCACCAGGGTCTGCTGGTCACTGGTTTCTCCAGCATCTACACTCCATTACCAATACTTAAGCTCCTGTATATTCTGTAATAGTCGTACAATGACAGTGAAGATTAAACTATATATTTTTTGCAGTCACCTATGTAGCCACAAATATGTCACACATTTCACATAAACTTTCCAAAAACATTTAAGGGGGACTCTCCCTGAAGGCAGGACTCAGACCTGCAATTGGCAGAACCATGCTGCACAAAAGTTTTCTAGCACAGATGTGAGAGGAGTTGGCTGTGCTCCTGTGCCCCTTAGGTCTTTGCCCTAGAGGTAAAATAAAAGCACAGAATTGAGTGGACAAATCCAGAGCAGTGGTTCATGCCCTTTATATGTAA